TATTGTTCTTATGAACAAAGAAAACTATGAAGTCTCTGCTATCATGAAAAAAAGTAGTCCCATAAAGTGAAGATATTTGAATTTTTTATTGTAGAGCTACTTATGGACTACCCTATAGTTATTTGAAACGACTTTGAATTTTATTCGTCATGATTAGTAATGTGTAGGACCATATTTGTTTTATCTCAATAGTTCTATGTTTATTGGTTTCAGTGATAGTTGTGGTAAACCCGGCCATGATTGATGTTTTTTTCTAGTGATACAGTTCGATGGTTCCGAAAAACTGAAACTAGGAACCGTTATCTCCAGAAATATTTATTCTTGAGATTAAAGATTTCAGTATATATGTATAATATTATTTTGTTTAAGTACTGAAATATGTCTTGTCTTTAATCTCAATAATCTGATAGTGAAAATTTATCAAAATAGATTTAAAATTTCGGTATCCATCTGATGGTTTAACGGTCACGGTGATTCTTCTTTATCGAGAGTTATTCTCGGCCTAGAGAAAATTATTCGAAATTCGTTTGCGCTAAATCTAAAAAAATTCTTGAACTCATTTTCATCGGATTAATTTAGTCGATGACTACCATATTTTTAGCCTTCTCTTCTGAGTTTGTTTTCCTAGATATGATCAATAAAATGATTCACTCTAAGTAATATGAGATTTAGCTATCATCTTTAGTTCCGATCCGAGTCTCGTGAGTTGAAAGCAGAACTAAACCGAATCTGCACATTGTTAATGCTGATGTATACAAATTTTCTATAAGATGAAGTCATTAATGAATAGCTCGTTTTTTTCTCTGTTGTCAGCATGATTTCTTTTCTATCCTTCAATAGAAATAATTAATCATATGTAATAGATTATTATTACTCGGAGAAATTTCATCACGAATTGAAAGAACTGATTGTAATCCGTTTTATTGAGTCATAATTACTATATACGGTCGTTTCTCTGTCGTTGATAATGACTCATACGTTGACGTGGCTTGATTTGTGTTTTTGTAAAATACGCAAAAATAATTTTTTTCTCTTGTATCTCATCAATAGTACTGAAAAGTTTTAACTTTTAAAAAAGATATAATTATTGAATACTTATCGAAAATATATTTTATTGAGATGAGCTTTTGTTTTTCAAGAATAAAATTACTTATTGTGTTCTAGATAGTATCTTATTAACTTTTATCAATTCAATTAAAAAAGAACAAATGGCTGAACATAAAATAAAATTACAATCCAATGATGGAGATATATTTGATGTTGAAGTTGAAATTGCTAAACTATCAATAACGATAAAAACAATGTTAGAAGGTAAAATAATTGGTTTTATTTAAATAAAATTAATTATAATTTTTTTGAAGATCTTAGTATGAACGAAGAAGAAATAATACCATTGCCGAATATTAATTCAGCTATTTTTAAAAAAGTAAAATTTTAAGACAATTTATATTTTTGAATGATTAATTTCGATAGGTTATTCAATGGACAACACATCATAAAGATGATCCACCACTACCACCAGAAGATGATGAAAATCGTGAAAAAAATACAAATGATATATCGTCATGGGACCAAGAATTTCTTAAAGTTGATCAAGGAACACTTTTTGAACTTATATTGGTATGTTAATAATTTCTATTACTTTTAAAAATATAATTTTTTTTTTGTTGATTTCGTTATTAGGCTGCCAATTATTTAGATATTAAAGGATTACTTGATGTAACATGTGCATCAGTTGCAAATATGATCAAAGGAAAAACACCAGAAGAAATTCGACGAACATTTAATATTAAAAATGATTTTACACCACAAGAAGTTCGTTCATTTTTATTTCATTTATTGTTTAAATTTTATCGTTTTGTTTTTCTTAGGAAGAACAAATCAAAAAAGAAAATGAATGGTGCGAAAACAAATAGGTTATTTTACAACTTGTAATATTTTCTTTTCTTACAAATTGATACGTGCAAGTTTTGTTTGTTCTTTCATTTTCGTTTTTGTTTATATTTCGTATAATACTGATGTAATTATTGCCTTCTTTAACAAATACATTGTGCTAACTTTTTTTTTGTGTCATAATAATGAAGGATAACTTCATTGATCCTGATTGTACATTCAATTAATAATTCAAACATGTCATAAAATCAATATGGCGAAAATTAATACAATGCGTAGCAGAGCATTTCTGTAGTCGGTTGCATATGTATTCGGCCTTTATACTTTGTGAGCTTTTCCCTGTAACAAAATCTTTACTTTGTATCACAATGATCTAGAGAACAGCAAGTCACTAGAAATTCGTTCGAACTATGCCAGAGAGATCCATGTCTCCAGATGATACAAGCGCTTTTGAATCTTCAATATGAGTGTTCGTTCATCTTCAATAACTTTCGCAAAACGTTGATTTTGATGGTTCGGTCTCTATCTTTTACCCAAGATAATTAAAAGTAGTGAGCTAGTCTTCAGCTAGTTCTTATGCTAATTGGAACGACATAGCTGAAATTTGAGATCGTTTCGCACCGCACTTATGTAATTCTTTTGCGAGTTTTCTAATTTTTTTTTACTTATTAGACATATGCATTAAAAATTATCATTTTCTGTTGCAATGATCTCGAGAATAAAGAGTCAGAAAAAACGCAAATAGACAAGCTTGTATTGTCTTATTCACGCATCGAAGAACGTATAAGTTGCTTTAACAGCATAGATTTGTAGGGAATCTTCTTCCGTATGAAACTCTTATACTTAAAATCAGAACCAATTATTATATCTCTTAGGCTCTTTACCTTTGTTACACTATATCTAGCGGGAGTAAAAAAATTTATTGTAGTCCTAACAACAGAGTCGATATGTATCTTACCAAACAACAATGTATCAAATGAAACTTAACATAGTGCGTTGTTCTACATTTCATCTTCTATCTACAAAGGTGTGATACATAAAAATTTGCTATATATTTAGTGAGATCTACGCTTAGACTGTTGCTAGGACGGTGGTAAGCTTTTTATTCTTGTTATCCATAGTGTAACAAAGATATATAACTTAAGTGATATGATCGCTTTTGATTTCAAATATAAGAGTTTCCTATAGAAAAAGATTCTCCATAAACCTACGCTGTTAAAACAACTTTTACCTTCTTCGATACTTGAATAAAACAGTACAAGAACATTATCTGTAATTGGTGTATTACATAGGAGACGAATAAAACGATTTTCCAATATGGAATATCTATTGAAACAGAATATCTGATACAATTTGTAGTGCTCTTACTAATCATATGTTAAACAATAAAATTAGCTCAACATTATAGGAATTACGTAGAGTGCAACCTTTTCTATTGAATCATACATCATAACGAAAATTTTAAGTTCTAACAAGCGCACAACAGTTTGCGAAAATAAATGGTTAGATAATTTTGGAAGACTAAAAAAGTCATGATGTGATTCTATCGTCAATAATAACTAAAGAGATCAATGAATTGATATGAAAATTTTTTACTAGTGTACTAGAGACTATGGACCATAATCTGATGGAAACACGATGATTCCAGCTCATCTAGTTTTTGAGATATACACAAAAGAAAAGAAAATTATCAGCTAGTCGAACAATTTGGATACCCACTGCGTATACTAATAGTTCAAACAGTATTTTAGAATTCTATAATATTCCACTATTCTCCAGTTTGGTATTATAATATAAGAATTCCGATCAAAGCTGTGGGCCTCGGATTTAGATAGGTAAGATAAACTGCCGTTTCTACAATAAGTCCGATACTATACTATATATATTGAAACAAAAGTTATCCATAATAAATCATAGTTTGTTTTGAACGATCAGAATCCACCTCTCACAATGGAGATGTTTGTGCTGTAAGTTGAAAAGACCAGATATTATTGCATTAAAAGAAAGCTCTCACCATCAAACTAAGAAGGTTAAAATATTAGTGGTTGTTGCCTTACCTAGACGGAGATATTCGATTTTTACAGTAATCACAGTTAGGATACACAGGAACATTAGGATTATTTATATTAATATTTTATTTAATTAACTGAGTATTTCAATAGAAGGCTACAAGAATCTTTATGAAATTTATCAATAGCATTAAGATCACATTAGTTTCGATGTCTTCTGAGACTTAAGTAATATCAATATAGATAAAGATCAGCTGGTAGCTATCAGAGTTTTTAACTCACCAATAGGTTCGATTTTATTTCAACTGAAAACAATAGATTATATAATATACTATTTGAACAAATGTACTACAAGTGCAGATGTAGATCTTCAATCAGATGATAGTAACAAAGAGCTTGTTTGCATCAAGCACACATAGTGTTCATTCATTGCGATTGTTAATTGAACAGTATAAATCGTAAAATTTGAAGCAAACATCTTTTAGTTTTTCAATCTGTCCAATTGTTTCATTTTTTATTTGAGCTTGTATACATCCGTTCTTAATGAGATTTTTAAATTGTAAAGCTGGTAATTAGATACTACTTAAGTCTCAGAAGACATCAAAACTAATATGATCTTAATGCTATTGATAAATTTCATAAAGATTCTTGTAGCCTTCTATTGAAATACTCAGTTAATTAGATAAAATATTAATATAAATAATCCTAATGTTCCTGTATACCCTAACTGTGATTACTGTAAAAATCGAATATCTCCGTCTAGGTAAGGCAACAACCACTAATATTTTAACCTTATTAGTTTGATGGTGAGAGCTTTCTTTTAATGCAAAAATATCTGGTCTTTTCAACTTACAACACAAACATCTCCATTGCCAGAAGAGAAACAAAAATGATGCGATAGTTATATCTTTTTTCTCGTTTTATTACAATCGGTTGGCATCTTTGGACGACTAGCGACAAGGATAAAATTCATCAATACTCACACGTACGAAAAGACAAAACAGTTCACATGCCTCCCAAAACAAAAACAGAAGCACACTGTAACAGTAGAAAAAAAAAATGAATGAAATATATGACAAAAGTATAGTCACATCAATTCTAACTAGAAATAAATTTTCTCACAACATCGTTATGAATTTCAATAATAATATCAAAAGGAAGTTTCAATCGAGTCAATAAATAACGAATATTAGCTTGATCAGGATGACGTATATACCATTCTCTTAATAATTGATAAGCACATTCATGATTACCATCTAATATTAAATATGTTTGTTGAAAATTTATTAAATCTATTTCAGAAAAACAAGGTGCTAATTCACGACCAATGAATTTCCATTGACAACGAAGATATTCAGCAAGACGATGAGTAAGTTTCATATCATTTAATTTCAACTATTAAAAACAATACACAAGAAAAATTTATGAAAAAAATAAAAAATAAAGAAAAAATCAATAAAACTTTACATTGCATTTATCACTGATTTCTAAATGAGATTGATCAGAGGACAGTACACAACCACAAATCAAACGATTTTCATTATTCTAAAATTCAAATTTCACATCTGTTAGATTTAAATACATGAGAAAATGAATATATGATGATTCCATGAATTCAAAATTTTCAGTTCTATCGATCGATAAACATTTTCAGTAGAAAGAAAGCATATTTTACCTCTTCCTTTCATATTATTATTAAATTATTCAGATAATTTTTTTCCTATACTTCTCAACAGACATGCCATCGATATGAATTCATTTCTAAATTTTCTTTTGTATACATATTGATATATGATCGTCATTCTCTCATCATAGTCTGACAAGAAAAAACAACTCATTAGAGATCTGATTGCTTATTCATTCAATATTTATTGGATGTCTACCTGATTGAATGAAGTTGATATGATTTCATGTTCTGATGTTAAACTAAGATTAAGTTCAAATATCGGGGACTGATTTATATATGATCCATTCGATGGATCTAATGATTCAATAAATAATTTACCAATAACACCTGGACCAATTCGATTATTCTAATTAAAACAAAAAAAAACCTAGAAATTTTCTTTTAATAGAAATAATTACTTTTAGTTTAAGAGCAAATTGTTTATCAAAATTATTATGATTATAGTTTTTTTTAATTGTTTCAAGTTTCATAAGAGATGAATCTTCATATACATCGACATCCGCAATAAACAAAGTTGAAACGAGACGAACACGAACAACACCTTTAAACGAAAAATTTTCATTTTTTTTATTATCATCTAATTTAATTAAAAATTCCACCTGGTTTAATGACTTTTGCTATTCGAGTTTTTGCTAATAAAATTGAATCATCATCATCGATGGTATCATTTGTTGATTTAACAATAACATCCATTGTACATTTGCATGTTGTTGAATATAATTTAAGATAAACTTGACAATGATATTCTTCTTCAAATTCATTTTTTTTCTCATTAATTCTTTTGAATTGATTTTCATATTGGGATGACAAATCATATTTTGATGGTCTTAAATCTTGTTCATGATTGTCTCGTAATCGTTTAATTTTTTTCGACGACAATAAATTAACTTCTTCATTAATAAAACTTCGTTTAACACCACGATGATATATTGTTGCCATTATTGACATGACCATCAACAAAAGGAAAGCAAATGTTAACCAATCTTAAATAAAAATAAAAACAATTTAAGTACTTTATCACACATAAGATTATGATGACAAAATGCCACTTATGTCTTATCTTATTCTCATTATTTCATTTGACAACATGCAACAGACACTGTACCTTTATCTATTGTAAAGCAATATCTTATTGACTTATAATCAACCCAACTGCAAAGAATTATAATAAAAATTTGTCTTTATAAAAAAGAGAATACCAGTTTTTATTTTGTATATCGAAAAAGAAGAGAAAATTTTCGTTTCCAATTACTGTTGTTTACACATTCAATTAAAACAATGAACATTGACTTTAAGTTGTTTTTTGCTTTCATCACATACTTGAAAGTTAATTTCATTCAAAATAAGAATGAATAGAAGTCTATTAAACAAAAGAAGAACATCTCCTGACTTCAAGCATTGATCGATGGAATATTCTTTCCTTCTACGCATTTTATTTATATGTAAAATTTACTGGTATATATTAAATACACATGTATAGTTCTTTGCTCACCCGTCGAACATCAATCATCAACATGAGGATGTTATTGTCAAGAATTTCATATACAGAATAACCCTATAGAATTTTGTTTTACTTCGAAATAAATGTAGTACAAGACGATATAGTCAAAAAAGTTTTTTCTTCTTCTTCCGTTCTACTTGTGTTCTTTCGTAACAGTCAGCCGTTTTATCTTCAATAACAACTATTCTTTTGTGTGTGTACTTAGCGACAACATGTGTATATGTATAGAAGTGAATTTTTTTCCATCAATACTTTATTTCAACAAGACAATAGACAAAGTGAAGATGAAAAAGCAGACTAGTAAAAAGTGCAATAAAAAAAAAGATTTAGCTTTGTTGCACAAACAATTAGAAGTATATATCATGAGCAGAAAACACTTGAAATAAACTGTATTATAAATTATTTATAAACTTACCATTATTAACTTAATGTAATATTGCATGAAAATGAACAATGACAATTTATTTTCTATGAGAACATAGACAGACTTTGTTTTTATGTCTATAAGCTTCCTCTTATTACACATTAGAAAAAAGTTGACTGCTTGTTTCTACTCTTTTTTTTCTTTCTTTGTGTGTTTTCCGTGATAATCAGCATCTTCAATCTCTTTTTTTCTCTTCTTTTCTTTTCATGTCAATGTTAAAGGGTTTAATTTTTAACTTTTTTTTCTTTTATAGGTTCTATGAAGGAGCGATAATGTGTAGAACAAAAAAAGAGCGGAATGAAAGCGGACGTGAGCAAGCTTGAGAAAAAGAGGTAGACAGTAAGATGAGATAAAGACATGATTTTTTACGGTCGAACAGCTCATTTCTTCTTTTCCGTAGCGATAGTTTTGCTTCACCTCTTTTCTTTTCTCTTTTTTTTCCTATATAAAAGTATTTGTGTTTACAGAGCTTTATTAAAGCAAAAAAAAAAGGATGCGAAATGAAAGTGTGATTATAGACAGGAAATGTAGGTGACCTTTTGATGCTGTAATTTAATAAAATAGACATTTTATGAACATTGCTGTTGTTTTTTCTTTCAATCAGAAGAAAACAAGCATTTTCGCAATGACTTGATATGTCTAACAGAATTGTATATTTTTCGTTTGTTCTATATAATCAATTGGATTTTATTGAGAACAAAAAAGAAAAAGAAAAATTTAAGGATATAATTAATTAAATCATGAAATGTTTTTTATTTATTCACCACCAATTGTATTTTCACATGCTGAACAACTACATGTGAGAATATTTTCATAAGGTTTCGATATAATTGTTATACCACCATTAGGATCGGTACATGTCATATCAACTAGGATCGTTGATGTTGTAGCTGGTGAACAACAACGACAATTATTTCGTGGAGAATTAAAACCAGACATTGAATATGATATACAACCACCTAAACATTGTTGTTGAGGGATCAATGCAGTTGATATACAATTATCAATAGTAATAAATTCAGCTGGTAATTGCTGAACTGAACAAATTTCAGGTTCTATTAAGAAAGAAAAAAAAACAAACAATAAATGTAAGTTCATATAAATCACATTGAAAAATATTTACTGGAAACTTTAACACATGAACCACAACATGAACCGTCCGTTGGTGGTGCATAAGTGTATGTAAATAATGGATCTTCAATTTGAGAACATGTTTCATTTGTAATAGCACAATTGGTAACACATTGTTCTTCAGTTGTATTTAAACATGTACATGTTGAACAACCTTTTGGATAACTGGTTGTTGCTGTACTACATGGTCGAGTTTCAATTCTTGTATCATTTCGATAACAATTAGGTCCTTGTAAAGTTTGATAACGAGATTGTGTGCCATTACATGGAGCTGAACATTCACCAAATGGTGACCAATCAGAATATGTACATTGTTCAACGCAAGGAACTGTTTTACATGTAACACAACCATTTTGACAAGTACTGCAAATATAAAATTTTTTTTACTCAGTAGTTTTGAATTTTTATTAATAATATTTACCATTCTTGACATTTATCAGCTACATTAATTGTCTGTCCCGGTAAGAGTATTCGACCTTCATATGTACATTGACATGTTGATGGTACGACACAATTTCCATTAGCATCCATTACTGTACCATTAGCACAGATACATCCTATTTGACAAAGTTCTGGTTCGGAACATTGTTCATTACAAGTTAATGTTGAACATGAAGTATTACATGAATTTGAACAATTACTAAGAACTTTACCATCCGTACAAGTATCACCTGTACATGGTTGAGTATTACATGATTCAGATTGTGTTGATGGCTCTTCACAAGATGCTCCATTACATTCTGGTGCCGGTTGATTACATTGACGTGTACGTGTTCGTTCACCACCATTACAATCAGCTGTACAATTACTCCATTGTGACCATGGTGACCAACTACCATCAACTAAAAACAAATAAAATTACGAAAATATTATCTTTTAGATTTGTTTTTATTTTCATAAAAATATGAGATTAATTACCTGGACAACATCCAATATTACAATCACGAACTTCAATAAGTGAATCTGTACAATTAGGTTGTTGTGATATGAAACTTCTTGTTCTCAGTTGTGAACCCAAACCACATGATTTTGAACATGGTGTAAAATCTGTCCAATCAGTTGTTAAACATGCTCCAATGCAAGGTGGTGATGTACATGGTTGACTTTCAGTTTCTGGACCAACGCAATCTTTTCCGTCACCTACAGCTGGAATTTTACCTCTTGATCGAGTTTGAATCCCATCACCACCACATGTTACACTACACGATGTCCAATTTGACCATGGTTCGAATTGACAATCTCCTAGGATAAATAGTAACTTATTTAGCAAATGAAAGAGATAATAAAACAAAAAACTTACTACTACAATTTCTATCTGGTATAGATACAAGACTTGAATCTTTACAAATAAATTCATTACAATTATGTGAATGAATTATTGTATTATTATCCAAATGATCACCAATATGAACGGCTTCAGTTACGTTCGTATAACCTATTTGATCATCTTTTTCAATCCAACCAACGACATCTACAAAAGTAATATAATAAATTTTTTATATAAAATAATTCTTTTTTCAG